AGTCACAGAAGGAGGACATTAAGGGGGATTTCAAGGTGCAAAATATATCTAGGTGCTGTGACAGGACCATACACGTTTGTTTCAGATTAAAAATTCATTTTCTAATATTAAAAAGGTCAAATAGAAGCCAAGGCAACAATGACCTCTATGTCATCTTTAACAAATTATCCAAAATGGCAGCGTCGAATTGGTGGGGATATGTCGGCCGGTGATGAATGCTCCTGGTAATCAGCCAATCAAAAAGAATTCTTCTTCTGCTTTTGATAAATGAGCTGGAAAAGCAACGCTTTAGGAAGAAGATGGGTCCATTTGTTTCGCGGGTCTCTTTTCCTTTTTTTCTTTCTCCTTCTCGATTTCTCTCTTTTCAAAACAAACAACAGGGTAGCTTGGGAACAGATTATAGCTCCTTGCATCATTGCCTCTTTCAGCCATTTTCCCTGCTGACCAATATTCAGCTGCAGATGGTAAATGATGGAGTTTTATGGAACAGTTTGAACAAGCACAAACACTCTCACTGAACTTTGAGCCACACGTTCGTTTCTATAAAATAAATAATCGTCCTCTTCCACGACCAGTATACAGTGAATCCCAATTAGGCTCTCTTTCTTGTCATCTGATAAATCCAACTGACCAACTAACTCCTAAAACACCTGTATCTTCTGAGGAAAGAGTAAGACAGATAACAAACCTTTTTTTTTACTATCATAAACAGCACATACCCTGACAATGGTAAAAGCTTACATGAATTTGTCCTGTATAAAAGATTGTGTAAGCGTACATGCGGGTATGCACTAAAGCGACCTCCTGATGTGGTCCTCTATCGCTGCTCATAGTTTCAATAGGATAAACAAACCAGTATATCTAATAGTGTAAATAGTGATGATGGACCGTTATGTCTGAAAGAGTTACGACGGTGTTAATAGTTTGGGTCAAAATACACTTTAAGGAGTGATCATAATCTAAGAGGATTTTTTGCTAAGAACTTTTAATAAAATAAAATAAAGTTAAAAAATGAAAAGGAATCTACTTATCTGAGAAAATGACTACTAGCCAAACTGAAGCTGAAACCTCCCCAGAGCTGAACAGTGGGTTCTAATTCTCAGTGAGATTAGTAGGAGTGGTGACCCTTATAATAAATAAATATAAAACTGATGTGAAAGAGCAGCAACCTTCGAGACCATTCTGCTTTTACTGGTAAACATGTGACAAACCCTCAAACAGACACATAAAATACACCTGGTGTTAGAAAAAATACAGGAAGCATAACCTTGGCACTTGGTCATACATTTGTTTTTGTCAACAAATCCTCTGAAAAGATAGAAAACAACAGTACATTAGTCTGCCCTAAATACTTTCTATGTGCCTACTTTTGAAACACAACACGAAGCCCACTGATTCTAACTTGTGCTTTTAAAGTTCTTATTAAATTAAAAGTTTTATTAAAAAAAGGGGCTGTATGCTCTTTTTCATGCATTCATCACTGAAACAGGTGTAAATTATGCATATGTTAGCTCCAGATTAATGTTCTTTTTATCAGCACACGACATTTGCTGGGGACTACTTTCAGTTTTGGAATAATACAGATTACATGCACCTCTCTTTTCCTTATATTCCCATTTGGCTTTATTTCCCTTGAAGAAAGAATATTTGTTATCATTCCCCAATCTATTTTTATGCAGACTGTACGTTATGAGGAGTAATGTATTTATAGCCTTGATGTCAAAATGTGACTGTGCACAATCTGTAATCATGTTTTAATATAACCTTTCCAGGTGAGCTGGCTGATGTGACTTTAAGTCTCTGATTTTTTTTTCTTGTTCAGGAGAGAGTTTTTCATAAACACCATGGACACAAATGATCTAAACACTAAATGTATATATAAATATTTTACAAATAAAGGTTTCCAGCCATCAGTACTAATGCAAAGTAGATTGCTCCCGCTACAAGCTTTGATTCAAATGCCACTTGTCTGGGAAGTTATTGTCTGAACAGAAAAGGGTATTTTTCCAGCATAAAGAGAGTGGCTCTGAATTCAGAATGATGGACAATCAGGTTTTTGTCACAGTAATGGTTGATGGGGTTTCAAACTGAATGAGCTCCACAATGCAACAGTGGGCAGTGTGACTTTGACTGGAGTGTTATGCATAGATCTGTGAGTGTTTTAAGAAGTCACGATGAGGACATGATGTCCGGCTCAGATTTAGGTACATTAAGATCCGACATCAATTTACAGTGCAAGTTGAATTCATAAGCACTGCATCATCTGCAAAATCATCAGGTTGCGCTTGAAATGAATTTCAAAGACCAAACATCTCTTGTATGATGATGTTGAGTTTTTAGTCTTTTTAATCTTATAGTGAATGAATAGTGAATACATGGGATCATTCACTTAAAGACTACTATACAATATTTGATACATAATAGACTTCTCCTGCTGTGCAGTAGTACTATGCACAACTACCAAAAACACTGGCCAAATGTCGAGTACAATCACACTGCCTTTTATATCATAGAAGAAAAGCAGGCTCACGGTCGAGAGCTAACTTATATCAGGGTATAGTTCTCTTTGTTGCTGTTTAATCAATCTTGACAGGTATCATATCAATTCAAACTGTGCGCACTGAAACATAAAGACGATGTGATGCCAATACCATTACCACCTAAAGTTTAGGTTTTTGTGTTATTAGTGCAAGATAGAAATTATTGATCACTAAAATTGGTTAATTCATCAATTGTAAAAGTCAAGCATTGTTGTTTTCTTTTCGAGAAGTGTATTATTGTAGCCAACAAACAACATTAACTTTTACTGTATTGATTCTGTTGCAGCATCAGCCAGTAACATTAAAACTACAAAGGGCTGCTTTTAAAACTATATTAGCCAGCTTGTGACCCCCAATACATTTCAGGCATTTCTCTCCACACTGTTAATCCCTAAAGACGAATTTGAAAAAAGACAATCATATAGTTCAGGCTAAAATCAATGTAGGTAAGTAGCTTTGTTTTATTTTCTCTTTATCACTAAGTTGTGCTAAGTTTAAGTGAAATTGATGATATTATCAACTACCATTTTTTACACTAATTATTCATATTATGAATAAGTATAAAAAAATGCCTAAAGATTTAAAATGGTCTCCTATTTTACTTTCATCTCAGTTTTCTGGTTTTTAAACAAATGACCACACTGAGTTAGGAGCTAGTAAATTGGCCGCATGCTAGCTTAGCTAACTGTTGTGCTGTGGCTGCTGCTGATCTCCTGTTAATGGAGTCCTCCAGCAGAGCCCTCCAACCCTGGTAGCCTCATTAGACTGGGTGCCCGCTGTGTGAGATGAGCATGAATGGAGGGCAGGAGCGCAGGGCCTCCTGGCTGCAGAGTTGGCATTAAAACTGGCATGTGGGAGCCCCAGACATGAGTAGTGTGTCAGATGGGATTAACTGGCTGTGGCGAGAGAGACAGAAGAGGAGAGGTTGCCCAAGCCTCCAAATTAACTCTGTAAGACTGAAGGCAATCATCAGGGAGAAGGAGGGGCTGCAGGAGGACTAGTGTTGGGATGGTTATCAACAGAGAAGGAGAGGTAGGGGTCTGACCAGCAGGAGTGGACATAGGAACAATTTGGACCAGTGCTGTATTGACTAGGACCTGTATTAACCAACACAAAGAACTAAAAGTCACTGTGGTGCCAGGGGAATAAGGACTTTTATATGGCTACAGCAATATCTGTTTAAATCTGGTATTATTTCCATGTGTATTCCACTAAAAAATATTCAAAAGTGCAGATGATGACACATCAGCTATTGTGAATGCTTGTCCCTTGATGCAGTTTGATAGATTTTCAAGTAATCAAGGAGTTGATATTGTCTTTTCAAAGCAGTTGAGGACAAGAACGAGAACAAAATTAGGTCCTCAAATTCGGTTTAAAAAAACAATAATAGAAGAAAACTACTATAATACTTTAGAATGAATCATAAATTATAAACCCTGAGGAAATTAAATAAATAATGGTTTATAAAACTACCTCTGACCACAGAATAAACATACCGAAATAAATTGTGTAAAAGTCATCTTTATCGTTAAATAAACAGTAAGTTACATGAATAATAGTGAGGGGGGAACAGTTAGCCAAGTGGCCTCAAGTTAAAGCCTTAACACCTAAATAAAATCAAAAAATCAAATGATAAAGCAAAGATGACCTAAGTCTAAATAAGTATCATTTAAAAGGGACTCAACATCCAGTTTGGAGGGGAAAAAGTCAACACTATCATTTGAAAATGTATTTAAGACTCTGCAACTACACCTGTTTGTCTGCTGTGAAAAATGGCAGCTTTGTCATCAAGTGATGCTGTATGTGTTTGTTTTGTGTGTATGTGTGTGCGTGCGTGTGTGTGTGTGAATGACAGCTATGAGTGGATCACCCTGCCATGACAGAGTCTATCGATCAGCATGTCAGAGCCGGGGGAAAAGGTTAATCTGCCCAATGCCAGCCCTGCGCCTCACCCCATCTCTGGCCTGCCCTGCATCCCGCCCCGGCCTGCTCCCTCTCTTATCAGGATTAGAGGAGTGTACAAAAGGGCAGAGTATTCCCAGGACACTCACTGACCTTCAGTAATCCCACCAACCTGCCGCTCTGCTTATAATTAACATCAGGAACAAAGAGAAAAATCCCTCGCCTGCCTGTGTAGCATTCTCCTGTCTGAAAGACTAAAACTGGAGAAGGGAAAAGTTACAGTAAGAGACTGAAAGCACAGAGATTTGCTTCAGTGGTGTGTTTTGAATGGCCAGGAGAGCCTAGCTGACATTCTGGAGCTGCTGACTTGCCTCTGCATGCTCCCCAGTGCTCACACACCCTAAACACAGATTGGAAGAACATGCTGAACCAAGCAGGGAGGCAGGAAACTCTATTTGGGACCAGTGGACACCACTGTGGTGAAGCAATGTTGAGCATAGTATGGAGGAAGTGTGTGCTTTTGTGTGTGTGTGTTTATGTTTGTGCTTGCACACTCACCGGGTCTTGGCTCATCTGCACTATGAGTTGTTTGACAGCGTGCAGCGTTGGGTGGGCCCATGGAGAGGGATCCTGCCAGTGGCGATTCAGGTCGAAGCCCATCAGAGAACACCTGTATACACAAAAACACACATAAAACCACACACAGACACACATTGGGCGAGAGGTAGAAAGTGCATGCACATGTATTAATAAAGTATGCATGTGTAGGTGAGGACAATCACTAATGTTCATATGCTAGTCAGCACCATTCAGTGTGAAAGGAAGAAAGGAAAATTCCCTCTATGTTGTTAATGATATTACAGAGCTTGTCACTGTAGGGAAGCAAGAATCCCCTGCTACTATTTTTGGAGGCAATGACAAGGAGTGATCACTAGATGGCACTCACAAACACACTTGGAACACGCAGCTGATGCTTATCTTAGTATGCATTAGTATTCCTGAGGCTGAGTCTATTAAGTAAAAGGCAATTATGAAGAAGGGAAAGAGAAAAGAGGAGAGGAGGATGCCCACAGAGCTGCAGCAATAGTGTTAAAGACAGAGTGGAGGAGAGGCTGGACACAGACTGGCACAGAGCGAAACAGCCCTACAGCCAAACACTATCTTCCAACAAATGCACTGCTGTGAGCTATATGAATTCATTAAGCTCCCTAAAGGTGGAGTTAAGAGGATATAATCTTGTGTAGCAGGATGTAAAAGCATGTAATGTGCGAATTCATTGTAATAGTAGCGATGCATTCAAATGAAGAATTAAAAAGATGTGTGTTTGTGTACCTGTAGTTGCCCAGGTAGACTCCATCAGGATTAAGCATGGGGACAACCTTGAAGATCACATGATCTCTTAGGATCTGAGCCACAGGATGCTGGCTCACAAGGAAGTCAATCACACCTGCCAAACACAAAACACAGACATACATTCAGATTCAACATGGCAACACACACACACACACACACACACACACACACTCACAGAGAGAGAGAGAGAGAGAGAGAGAGAGAGAGAGAGAGAGAGAGAGAGAGAGAGAGAGAGAGAGAGAAATAGACTTGAAAAGAAAAGCGAAGACGGGTTGGCAGTTAATTGAGTTTTGAGAAACAAAAGGAGAGGGAAGGACAGCGAGGGGCATCGTCAGAATCTGGGGAGGAATAGGAGACGTCAAGCCTAAATCGATACAAATGGAATGGAGCAGACGGCGCTGGAAAAACAGACAGCACACGGCGGGCGAGGAGCCAACTCATCTGATTCATGATGATGCACACACACTAAAACACACACATTCAAATAGACTGATACCACAGATAGATTAGATAGACAAATAAATAAATAGTTAGACAGGAAGATAAATCGTTTTTTTTCTTCACCCCACTACCTACACCTCATCTTCACATCAAGGCATCTCTTCACCTATTTTAAAAGACTTCGCCTGTTTCTGAATCAAAATAGTGGACAGGGGCCAACAGTTAATGTAAAGCCATGGCTTTCATCCCAGTTTTCCTCCTAGCCCTTTCCTTCTCCCATAAACAAGGAAGCTGGACCCAGAAGACGCAAACCTGCTCACTGACCTCAGTCTGAAAAGGAGGAAGAGAGTACAGAGTCATTAAATCTTTCTAAAACTGTCTCTTAGCTTGTTGCACTGCACAAGGAGACAATTTCCCAAAGGTTCCTTGTTTTTCAAGCTGTTTTATTAGTTTTGAGTCAGTGGAGCTCAGGAGCAAAGACTGTGCAACCCAGTGATATCCTTAGATTGTATTTCCAGAGTTATTGTACAAAACAACAGCTTCTTGTATCTATTCCTGTAGCATGAAGGACTTCTCAGATACAGTTTCAGAGCTCATATATGTAGAGAATGTTTCCATTTTTGGAACCTTTAACAGTAAGCCTGCACTCAAACTGTGGAAATGCAGTCTAAAAGACGAGAACATTAACAAAGCAAGGGAGATCTTACAAGCAGATGCTATCCAGTTGCATTTTGGAAAATGTAGGAGCTTTGACACTCGACCCATACTAGGGCCTAAAATCAGGATCTTAGCCTCTGCTACAGATCAAAGTAACAGACAATGAACTCAGACAGGTATTGGTGTACAAAACCAAACATGATCCGACCAGTGGCGCTTCATCTGAATAGAACAAAGGAATCAAACTAACATTCAAATGTTACCTTGACAGATAAAGGAGGCAGGAGACTCCCCGGGATGAACTCGAGATGTAAGAAAGACCAGCTTCTTCCCCCTCTCTGGACTTGGAAGGTCTGTAAAGCAAGACAACGACAGTGTGTCAACTGAAGGAAACGATTTTATTGCCAATCCACAAAGGTGCACTCGTCCAAAAACTGCAATCTACAAAAGTCTAAGTAATTTCAGTATTATTAGAGTTAGAAACTCATTTTGCCCATTACAGTGCAGTGTTAAAGGCTTAGTCAAAACACACACTGACCTGGCTGTCCATTTTCATCCAGACACACATGAATCAAACATCAAACCAACACACACACACACACACACACACACACACACACACACACACAGAATATTCAACAGGCAAGTTGAATTATACATCTACAGAGGTCAGGAGTAGGCAGCAACAGGTGAGTCTCGATAGAAGTCCTCTATCATTGAAGTCTTCAGGTCTGAATGAAGAATTCTCTCTGGCTAGACCATTCTCTCCTCCCCTGCTTTGACTTTTCAATTAGATAAATGATCTGGAGTTTAAATGTGCTTGCTTATAAAATGAAGGCAATTCTTTTAGAGATGGACTATGGAGTGTTTGAAACCCAGATCAAAAACATGAAATCTTTTAACTCTCAAAGTCAATAAACCTCTCATTGCAAGAGGTTAATTTAATTTTGGGTGGATATTTAGAGGGTAACATTTGTTCACATTTCTTAACAGCAAACAATAGACCGGCCGACAAAAATAACAGTCTCCTAGTCTGTTTGAAAACCACAGAGGTCAAAATTTTGCTGTTTTCTTTGCCGTTGGTTCTCCTCTAATCTGCTGTTGCTAATGGATGAAAGTGATTGTGTGCCTCGTCGCTAAACACAAACTTAATATCTTATTGATTCTTTCACCCACTTCTGCTGAGCAGAGAAAATGCTAATTAGCAACAGGCTATGCACCTTTCCTTCTCCTTAATTCTAATTTAGCCCCAGAGCTGTGTGTGTGTGTGTGTGTGTGTGTGTGTGTGTGTGTGTGTGTGTGTGTGTGTGAGAGAGAGAGAGAGAGAGAGAGAGAGAGAGAGAGAGAGAGCGAGAGAGAGAGAGAGAGTATGCATTTGTGTCTGTTTGAGTGGTTAGGGGTCGTAAACAGGAAAAAAAATTGTTGTTCCGTTTAAGTACTCTCCCTCTGATTTTATTTCGCTTTTCTTTTCCCCCTCTGCCCTTCACAGAGACAAATGGCTTTGCCATTCAGGAGTCTCCGTGGAGCGGGGCGGCCCGTTTGTTGTAAATGTGAGTGCTTGCGGTTTGGCCGGCTGCTGGGTGCTTGATGGCTGTGAAATTCCATCACTAGTAATTCTACTTTGGCCTCGACCCCGGGCCACCACACAGGCTCTTGATATAAGAACACAAATGCACACACACACACACACACACACACAGTAGAACACAACGCTGCAATCAGGAGTCAAAAAAAGACATAGGAAGGCTTACACATAGGCCTACAGTTTTTCTGCCTACATTAAAAACAAGAACCCGGAAAGTTGAGAGCCAAACCAGAGGCAGCTGCCAAGGTCCCGACTGTCTGGGAATTGGACCGTGCTAACCATGCTACATTTAGTCTCAAAGCTAGTGTGCCCTTGCTGCTTCATCAAAACAATCTCTTACAGCAGACTCCTGGAGCTTACAATGGATCCACTGTTTATCCCACATTGTTGTGTGAGTGTGTGTGAATGTTAGCGACTATGTCTCCTCAGGGCTCAGACAAACGCTCCCCAAGTAGTTGTTGTGTTTATGTGTTTGTATCTCTGTGTTCCTCTGTATCAGGCTGTGCCCATCCAAGCGATGTAGCACAAAATTAAGTCCCACTATTCCATAGGCACCCAGACACCCAGAGGAAACCCAGCACAGCAGAGAGGCTATATGGGAAAGGAAAATGTAACTTTTGGCTCAGGTTGTGCGAGACAATTAAAAAGAAGGTTAGGGTCAAAGTCAGGGTCTCAGAGCACAGCACTGCAGCAGCAGATCCTGACCTCAAGGTGTCAGTAGAGATCAGCAGGCAGGGGCCAGGCTGTTGACACGCAGAGGTGACGAATGACAGAAGACAAGAGAAAGACAAGACAGAGAGTAGATTGAGGAGTAGCTTTCTGAGACAACAAAAATGATCTAACTCTCTTTTCTGGAACTCTTTTTTCCGTTGAGAAATGTAACATGGAGATAAGAACGGAACCAATAAACAATAAACAATAAAAGTCGTCTATACATTTTTCATGGTCAAATCATTTTCCAGTGTATGAATTGATCTTTTTTTTTATTACAAAAAAAATCCCTTCTATATTTTGTGCAATAATAAGGTACAGATAAACACAAACAAGCACACTGTTCGTTCATTATGGCAGGGCTAAAAGTGAATTTACAGCCATGCCAGACTGGCAACACCACGGTTTGCTGATAGGCCAGGTCTCCAAATAATGAACCCCTTTAACTTCAAGCCATCACAGTCCTCTGACTACATGACTTAAAAGTTTAATAATCAGGGAAATAAATAGTGAGAGAGGGCTACAGTTAGAGGGTGGAGGCTGGGAAAGGGAGGGGTTGTGTGACAATGAGTGACTGAAAGCAGCAGAGGCAGAATTTATGCCCACACATCCAAATCAAAACGCTCCCTCAGCATATTTCTTACCTGCCAAAGTCACATGGCGCACTGTACACTACATTACCACTCGTTCTCTCGCAGAGAGGGCAGAAAAAAAATTAGAGGATGTCAAACTACGATCAGCTCTGATAAATATGTAAATCAGTGGAGAGAAGAAAAGTGGCAGTGAAAAACAACATAAATCTAATGGAAACTGAAGGTCAGGCCTGATTGTGCTGGTCAGCTCTTTCTGAGGCAGCGGCAGTCCTGGGAACTTTGGGTTCAATCTCATAAGTTGTGACATGATGTAATTAACTGAGATCGTCTTCATCAGTCTTCCTCAGCAGGAACAAAGGAGGACCTGTCAAGACCTTTTGGAAGCTTCATGGAATATATTTAAATACATTTAACCAATTAAAAAGTTAATTTGATTTGAGAAAAGGCAGATTTTGCTTAATAAAAAAACCCTCATCTGAGTCCAACTTTAAGACATAAAGTATATACAGGATCATTTTAAGATTAGAAATAAATGACCAATAATGGAATTGGACATTGAATAGCGTCTCTTGTTTTGTATTTAGACAACATGAAGTATTGAATGTTTAATATCTTTGCAAACTATAAAAAATATGCTTCAGTATAAGCTGTGACCCTGCCCTATGCAACACAGTGACAAATTAAATAATGTCTCACTGACCACATTAACCCCATAAGTCCTCCAACCAAGGCCCCCCCCAACACACACACACACACACACACACACACACACACACACACACACACACAGACACACTCCCTTGCCCACTCTCTCAGCACTGTGAATTTTACACTGTAATAAATTAGCCTCACTCTGGTGTGATGGCAACAAGACACGCTCGGCGCCCTGCTCGGTGCGTCATATCGAGGATGGGCGCGAGCTGTAAATTGTCACTGCCGTTGAATTCATACAGAGCCTTGGGATGAGATGCAGCAGCGTGTACTGCCCAGCTGAGTGAGCCCCAACAAGCATCAAAAGCTCTGCACCTCTTCACACACCCCCTCCCCTCCCTCGCTCCCCCGCTGACACCACCCTCTGCCACCTCAAGGACAAACAGAGAGAGAAAGAAACAGGGATATGTGCTGATGTGACGAGGGCTCTGAAGTCATAAGAGTTTTATGATGCTGTTTTCTTCCCCAGGATTTGATCAGGCCCCCCCGACTTTTTAAGTGTGTTCTTGCCGGTATGTTTGTGTCTGTTGGTGGTGTTGGGCCCGTGGCGTGTCTCAGATTTATTCAGCTTATCTCATGGTGGGGAGGGCAGGGGCAGTGCCAAGGCCTCGTCATGCATTCATAAAGCATCCCCTGTGACTTCACAAAGCACACCTTACACAGCTAAACTGTCTGCAGGAAGAGAAGGAGAGGGAAGGGAGGGATGCAGAGTGGAAAAAGGAGTCGCTGCATACTGTTCTCAAACAGGACCATGATGGGGTTCAGTATTTTCACAGACAGTCGATGATCAGGAACAGAAAATGATGAGAAAAAAGAAAACAAAGAGAAGAAATAAACCAGGAACATGTTTCTATCTTATAAGCTTTATTTCACCAGGGTTGTCCTATTGAAACCAGAGATCACTTGTGCATGGGAAGAGTAGCAGCAACACACTGTTTCAAAAATAAACAAACTTAGATTACAGTAGATTAACGATGATTAAGAATCATCATCAAAAATTAACCAAACATTAACACACAGACAGACTGGACAAAAAAGGTTTTCAAAACATTCAGGGTAACCAAGTTTTTCAGTTTAAAATCAAAACAACCCATGACATGTTTTTTTGTTTTTAATTTTTATGGTTTATATCAAAACGTGTGCTATTTGTTCAATGCTTTGAACCCCCATTACATTTGGATACATTTTAAACTGGGGGAGGGGTCCAATAAAGGCAACAACCCTGGTAATGTAGTTGTATTTAGTAGCAGAGTATTGTATGGTGTCATAGAGGCATAGTGTAAGGCACCAATATGAGGTAGATGTTGAGTGAATCCACCTCCACTTTTCCTCTTTGTACAACCTCCCTTATTTCCTCTTTGTCTCTTCGGACATTATAATTATCTGACATGTGTGGACGACGAAGGCAGTCAAGAAGTGGTGGTCAGAGGTGTATCTGTGTGTGTATATCTGTTGGTTTTATGTATGTGTATGATAGAGAGAGAGAGAGGCAGACCTGGCCTAGGGAGGGGATTACAATGGCCATGTCGAGACAGTCCGATTGGCATCACATCCAGACAGAAAGGGGAGGGACAGGGAGAAGGAGAGACGAAAATTGGGAGAATCATGAAAGGAAAGAGGGATAGAGAGATAAATAAAGAGGACAAGATAGATGGGAGAAAGAAGAGACAGAGAGACAGGCATGGAGCAGAGGAAACCCTTGAGATGACAGCATGTAAATACGCCAACGGCGAGCCTCTAAAGTGGAGATGAA